GAAAATCCACATGCCATCGACTATGTTCGCCCCAGGAGGGGGAACTTCGTCGATGTAGGTGCGTGTGGACTTCTAAGATGCCATCTCTGCGTTCATGGCTGCCTGCCACTGAGAGGAGTACGGACCCGAAATCGCCTCTGCGTAAGAGCACGGGGTCGCGATGTCCAGTGCATCTGGGCCTCCTTCAGGGGCAAGCAGCACGGCAGCGAGATGAGGTACAGCAGCCGGCACTCCAGCTCAAACTGCCTGTCTTCAAGGACATCACAGCCAAGGGCAAGCTCACCCTTGATGGACGGAAGACATTCAGACCCACAAACAAGACTCGCGAGGTATTTAAGACTGCAGGCAGCAACAAAGTCAAGAAGCTCAGTAACATAGGCAGACGTAGTAGTATACTCAAAATATTGGCCAGTGACAAGTGTGGCCAGACAACGAGTGGCAGTCGGACTAGCAGCACGAGCAAGGTCAGATTCTGGGTCCGGAATGTCAGGAAGAGAGGACGCAGGAGGAGACGGCAGGGCAACACTCTGTGGAACAGAGGAAGGATGAAGTGTCATAGTATGCATGCCGGGGACAGGCGGAGGACGAACATGACAAGCACGACGAATAGTGCGAACACGCGAGGCAGGACGAGACGCAGGCTCACGACGCTCTGTCAGGGAGTCTGACTGCTTAGTGTAAGGAGAAGGCCTAGCGACAGTGACGAAGAAGGCAGTGAAAGGGGCAGTGCTATGGCGGAGAGGCAGTGTTAGGCCCGGGCGGCACGGATCGGGTGGCACGGATAGGGCGGCTCAGCACGGAAGATTGGAGAGGGCGGCTCGACAGGGCGGCTCGGCGGCGCAAGGTGCGGAGCAGCGCGAGGGGCAGCGCTTGCAGCATGGGCGGCCAGGCAGCAGTGCGGGCGGCAGTGCGTGCTGCAGCACGAAGCAGTGCAGGCGGAAGTGCGAGCGGCAGAGCTGCAGCACGGGCAGCAATAAGGGCAGCGGCAGGCAGGCAGCTCGGGCAAACGGCATCGCGAGCGGCAGCGCAGCAGCACACGCGAGGCAGCGTGCGGCAGGGCAGAGCGCGGGCAGCGCAACAGGGCAACGCGCAGGCGCGTCGCGCAGCAGGGAGGGGGCACGGTAGGGCAGCGAGCGGCGCGGCGTGCTGCGAGCGACGTGTAGCAGCGGCATGCAGCAGCGCGCAGTAGCGGCGCGCAGTGACGCTTAGCAGCGGCGTGCGGCAACGCGCGGGGCAGAAGCGCGTGCGACGCGCTGGGCAAAGGTGCGCGCGACACGCGGGGCAGCGGTGGCGCTTGGGGCAGCACGTAAGGCAGCGCGCGGGCAGCACGCGAGGCAGCAAGCGGGGTAACGGGAGAGCGGGGCAGCGGCAGGGCACGTGCGGGGTAGAATCACATGGTGGGGCTGAAAAAAAAAAAAAAAAAAAAAAAAAAAAAAAAACGGTCCTAAGGACCTGCGTGCTCTGAAACCATGTCAGAAACCATGTCAAAAAAGTAGCAGGAATGGTGTGACTAACATGTATGACAAGTACAACTACTGACCCTAATGTTTTTTACCCAATATCGTCTACCCCACTACAACCTAAACAACATGTAAGTCATTCTGACATGTGAAACATTTATGGTTGCTCCTTTATCATTATACGGAACCGTATGGCCCCGGATATAGGTGCTGTCCGATTAAAGGCGCCGACGCTTCTATCTGGAGCATGGCGCTTATGGCCATTCCTCGATCATAAGCGCACCCCCTTGTGTACCTCTACTTATTATAAGCACATCCCTTAACTATTTTTTCTTTACATTTTTTACACTTTCTCACAATAACAACTTCTGAGGTCTTTCATTACAAATCTGGCACCAACAATCTCAACTACTTCGAAATCATATACCGTAACAGGACATTTCGTGCGCCTTTCTAGCAAGGTACCTAGTACTAGCGACTCCTCGTCAGACTCGGGCTCCTGGCAGTTGTTGCCAAAGAAGCCATCGGCGATTATGCCATCATCGACATCCACTTCCGCGGTCAGCTGGCTCCGCCTGTGCGCCATGACGAGACCGTCCTCACTGCCGTCAAGCGCGTTGTTGATGCCACAGGTGAGGAAGGCGCGCTTGATGAGGTCAGCGGGCACTGCTTTTGAGGCCTGAGATATCCACCTCAGGACGACCTCAGGTGGCGGCTTCTTGAGGTTCCCTGAAACAATACGGGGGCACGGTGGAAAGCCGTTAGTGCAACAACAAGGTGATTAGGAGGGATAAACAAACGGTAACCTGTTGATACCATACCTGCTGCCGTCAGCTGCTCTTGCCCCTCTGCTTCAAACCACTTCTGGTACTTCTGGCGGACGGAAGCCTTGAAGCTCTTGTTGATGGAGACATCGAGAGGCTGTACCTCTGCCATACAGCCCGTCGGGATGATTGCCGGCACGCAGTTCATCCCGCGGAGTTTCTCCTTCACCCCTTCGGTGAGGTGACCGCGGTAAGAATCCAGCACCACCATCGAGCTCTTCGCGTGCCTACCAAACCGAGGCTTCAAGAAGGGCTTGACGCACTCCTCAAGCCAGCAAATGACGCCCGCGGCGTCCATCCACCCGTTCTCGTGGCAAGCCACGACCACATCTGCACGAAACATCATCGAATAGTAAGAATTCGTACACAAAGGAAAACCGCATCGAACGTACGAATTACTCGCCGGGAAATCGTCCTTTGGCAACGTCTTCCGCTTGAAGAACACCCACGGCTTCAGCTTCACTCCGTCCACCGTGCACGCCAACATCTCGGTCACTCGCTGCTTCTGGTACAACCCTCGCTCATGATGGGCACTGACCGAACACCCGTTTCCTCCACGGTGGTGGTGGTGCGCATCTCCAGCCAGAGCGGCGTCTGGTCCCCGTTGATGATCCACGTGGTCTTGATGTCGCGCTCGCGACGCTTGTTACGGACGAACTGCCAGAAGCTCTTGCACTGCTCCCCGACATCTGTAAGCCGGTGGAAGAGAGGACGGACACAGATGGAAGGGGTTAGTACAACACAAGGACAAATACGTGGCAAAGTATACGGGGTATTTCTTACGTGCGGCGGTTTTCTGGGCAACCCTTGTCTTCATGCGCACGCTCAGATTCCATCGCCGCCGAAAGCGCTCCGACCACCTCTGGCTTCCTTTTCATTTCACGAGGGGGAACAGAATCTTCATGAACTCCCGCGACTACTACTGCAAGCGGCCGATGGACACTGCGGTTACCTTGCGGCGCCAGTCGAGGAACTTCTCGTACACCTTCAACTCCATCGGCCGGTACCACGACGCCCTCCTACAGCCGTGCATACGATTCCGTGCGGAGTGAACCTCTTTGAGGAATTCCGCCACCCGCTTCCAGTTCGTGAGGCACTTGCGGTTGATTCCACTCTCGCGAGCCAAGGCGCGCACCGAGACCGCCACATCAAGCAGCGCAACCCACTTCAATTTCTCAGCGGCGGTAGAACCCTGACGCTTGTGGTCAGTGACTCTGTGCCTAGAAGAGGGGGGGCGGGCATCACGGTTCTATGAAGTAGGGTGGGGTCGCTTGCGAATAATCGGAGGATAGGATGGTATAGGCAGTTTCTCGGGTAGCCCATCGAGTGACCAGTACTCTACGTCGTCGTCGTCGTCGCCGCCCGGAACACCTTCTGGAAACACATCCGCAGTGGTGCCGCCCTCGGCGGTATCCTCCGTGCCACCCTCGGCGCCGTCAGCGCAAATCGCTTCCTAAGCGTCAGCCACATCGTCGTCAGCGCCGACTGCAAATTCGACCCCAACGTGGTGCCGGCGCGTACTCCCCGGATACGTACTCATCTGGGGCCTTGTTGGAATTCGGTTCGGAGAGGTATTCGTCAAACGCCGATGGGAGCAGCAGCGTGAGCACGGGCTGATTGCCAGTGTGCCGCGGAGACACCGGACATGGAGGAGACGAAGGCACAGGAGGAACAGGAGGCGCAGGAGGAGCACGAGGCGCAGGAGGAGCAGGAGGTGCAGGAGGCTGTGGTGGCTCTGGTGGTTCTGGTGGGATACGGGAGTACCACCCGTCAGCGTCAACTGTATACGCGGGCCTTCGCGTAGGTTTCTTCTTGAACAAGAAGTGTGTGCCGGTGACTTCCGCCATGGCTTCCGCAGCCAGGCGGGAGAGAGCAAGAAACTGAATGAGAAATTGGGAGAATGGGAGAAGAAATGAAAGACTGAAAGAGACTTCTCCTGGTTAGCGGCTCGGGGTCCTCGTTGGGGAGAGACGGGTACCCCCCTGCCTGAACCTGGAGAGGTGGGTATCGCGGCACGTACCTGCTGCGCTGGCAGGGCATATTCCACCCCCTTCTCGATGGTTCGAGTGAAATGCTGCTGCCTGGCACCGCATGACAACCTGATTAGGCTGCACGGCAAGTTTTACGTCAGCGCTGGCAGGTGCGCTGCTCCGGGACGGGCTTTGTGTGGTTGGAAATCGAAGCGCGGCAGTTTTCGGCGGGATTTCATGCATGATCCCACGCGCACGGTACAGAGTTGTGTTCGCCTTATTGAGGGCTTCAATTTTAGTGCCGTTACTCAATTACAAGCGCCGCCCCTAAAAATATATGAATTTATTATAAGCGCATGCATAAGCGCCTACATCCGGGCCGGGGTATTACTGTACGGTATTACGATATATCTCCTCATTGTTTATAGTGATAAAGAAATTGGAAACCATTCAGCTTCAAAATCCACCAGGTGCATAAGGCAAAGAGAAAGCGGACTCGACTTGCCTCTAAATGCCCAGCTGCGCATCCAAGTCTCGCCCTTCAAGAGTGATAACCAGGCACACAAAGCTCTTATCTTAGCGTAACAAAAAGAGGAATCAATTCCAGCACTAAGTAATGAATTGGGAGCGCCCATCAGCACATGCATCAACTGTTTTCTCCCTGATCCAATCCAATCCCGACAATCCTGCCCCATCCTCCAAAACTGCACTCTCCATCTTCTTCTCAAACTCTTCTGACATAGTTCTTAGCAAGCGAGCAGCAGACCGATTGACAATCCTGCCCCATTCTCTAAAACTGCACTCTCCATCCTCTCCACCTTCACCACGCCCCCTCCTCCCTCTCCATCCTTCACCATCCTCCCTCCCTCCGCATTACTCACCCCAACCTCTCTTCTCAAACCACAAGGACGTATAAAGCAGCGACCCTTCCTAACCCTTGTGTTTCTCACTTGAAGCTCCAGGTGCTGCCTTTTACGCTTCAGGTGGTTTTTCTGATCGTTCAGGTGCTCGCTCTGCTGCTTCAGGAGCTCTTCCTGCTGCCCTAAAAGCTCCTCTTGCTGCCTCCGGTGCATCTCTTGCTGCTCCTTCTGTTCTCTCAGGAGCAGCTCTTTTTGTTTCAGGTAGAACTCTTGCTGCTCATTCTGTTGCTGCAGAAGGTACCCTTTCTGCCTCAGGTGTTCCTCCTGATGCTTCAAGTGTGCTTCCTGCTGCCTCAGGTGAACCTCCTCCTCCTTCAGAAGAATGTCTTCCCGCCTCAGGTGCTCCTTCTCTGTTGCCTTCAGGTGTTTCCTCAGCTTGAACTGGCGGCCACTCCTCCCCACAAAACGATGCACCTTCCTACTCAGGTGCCTCTTCTGCTCCCTCAGGTGGCCTTTCAGGTGCCTTTTTTCGCAACCAGCCCCTTTCCTCTCAACTCCTCCTCCTGCATGCCTTCTCCTCTTCCACCCCTCCTGCACGCTTGTGAGCTCCTCCTGCTCAGCCATAGCATCCTCCTCCTCTCCCTCCTCCTCTTCCTCACACTCATTCACTCCCCCACTCCCCACATTGCCATCTTCCCTGGGACGGAGGGGAGAGGGTTCTCCCACCTCCTCTCCCTCCTCCCCTCCCTCCTTCTCTCCCTCCTCCCCTCCCTCCTCTATTCCCTCCTCTCCCTCCACTTTTCGCTCTTCTTCCTGCTCTTCTCCTCCTCCACCAACGCTGCACTCCCCTTGCACCTGCACCACTGCCTTCCCCACACAACCCTCATTCCCAACAAGGGATTGTGCTGCTCCTTCCACAGCCCACCTCCCTTCCCTACCGACGCTGCCATTCCCATGAAGCGGCATCACGATTCTCCTTATGCTGCCCGTACAGCCAAATAATGACTGAGCTCCTGCCACCTCTTCCCCCCTCCCTCCTCCAACCGTGCTGCCCACCTCTTGCAGCTGCACCACTGCCGTTGCCACGCCACCCTTTCCTGGAAGGGAAAGGGGTGTTCCCTCCTTGCCATCCCTCTCTTCCCCACTTCTCCCCTTTCCTCCTCTCTCCTCCCCTCTCCTTCCCTCTTTCCCCATCACAACACTGGTTTTCTTCTCACCTTCGTGCCTCAAAGCCTCTTCCCTCCTCTCCTCCTCCCTCCTCGCCTCTTCCCTCCTCTCCTCCTCCCTCCTCGCCTCTTCCCTCCTCTCCTCCTCTCTCCTTGCCTCTTCCTTCCTCTCCTCCTTTCTTTCCTCCTCGCCCCTCTCCTCCCGCTTCCTCTTTCCTTCCCTCTCATCCCCCCTCTTTCCTTCTTTTTCCCTCTCCTCTCTCCTTCCCTCGTCCCCACTGACAAAATCGGCCTTCTTCTCGCCTCCATGCCTCCCCACCACTCCCCCATCCGCCCCCTTCCCCTTCTTCCCCCAATGCGCACTCTCTACCCCGCCCTCACTCCCCCCCTCCCCACCGGACACACCAAATACCCCCTTCCCACTCCCCCACTCCCCCCAACGCAGATTCCTTGCATGCTGAAGCTTCTTTCCACTCCACATCTCGCTGCAATGCTGCGTCCATGCATGCTTCTTCATGTCGTCCCGATGCTTGAAGGTCCGAGGGCACCCGGGATGAGAGCATGGGTGCTGGTGATTTGGGGGGGGAGGGGGGGGGGGGGGGGTGGGGGGGGGGGGAAGAAAACAGGTAAGGGAGAAACAAGCTGCGCCTAATAGACCGCACTGATGCTTGTGAAATTTGAGTTGTGAGGCGTCTCAGAACTTGGAAAGCAAGTAGGAGGGAGTGAGAGGCGAGAAAGAGAAGGCTTGTGAAGCTTGTCTGTACTGTAGGGAAGGTGAGTGAGGTAAGTCAATTGAAGTGGAGGGAATGGGACGGGAGGTTGCAATACGGACAGGAAAGGGACGAGGGAAGGAGAGGAGGACGAGGAGGGAGTGAGAGGAGAGAAAGAGGAGGAAGGGAAGAAGTTGAAGAGGCAAGGAGGGAGTGCGAATAGGGTAACTGGGGGGCGGAGGGGGGGAGAGCGAGGGCAGCACACCTGGGGAGCATTGGGGTTGTGAACGAGAAGGTGCCTCTTTAACAGGTAGTTGAATGAGAACGCCTTTTGGCAATTGTCATGCGGACACACAAAATGCTGCAATGGAAGAGGCAAGAAAGGATGGAAAAATAAATGCAGTGACAATTTTGCAGAGAATTAGATCGCATCTACCCGACCGCACTGCTGCTTCCTCGCATGCTGCTTGCATGCTCCTGGTATGCTGCTTCCTTGCATGATACACCATGTCTCCTCAGCAGAGGAAGAATCACAAATACAAAGAAGTTGACTGTATTGCAGGAGAGGTGAGTTAGGGACGATGGTTGATCGAGGAGGGAACGAGAGGAGAGAAAAGCAGGGACGAGAATTGACGAAGATGGGAAAGAGGGAACGTGGAAATGGGGAGGGGGGAGAGGGAAGGGAAATGGTGGGAAGAGGCAAGGAGGAACGGTGAAAGGGGGGCGGGGGGAGAGAGCAGTGGGGAGGAGCGAGAGGGGGAGCGAAGAAGAGACGTGTTTCGAGTCGACTCAAAACACGAGCTCACCTGGGAGGCATCGGAGTTGTGAGTGAGATGGTGCCCCTTTAACAGGTAGCTGAATGCGAATGGCCTTTTAAGAGGGAAGGGAAAAAAAGGGGACGGGGCAAGGAGAACGGGGGAGGGAGAGGGGAAAGGGGGGGAGGGGAAGCGAGGGGGTGGGAGGGGAGGGGGAGAGAAGAGAGCTCACCTGGGAAGCATCGGAGTTGTGAGTGAGAAGGTGCCCCTTTAACAGGTAGCTGAATGCGAATGCCTTTTGGCAACCCTCATGTGGACACACGAACTGCAGCGGTAAGAGGCACAAAGGGTGGAAAACCATTGCAGTGAAAGAGTTTGTACCTATTTTTCAAATGCACTGCTGCTCCCAGCACCCACGAACACACGAGATGCAGTGAAAGGGGTGATATTGGAACGAGGGGACGAGAGGCACAGAAGAGAACGGGTAGACTTCTGAGTCTTCTAGAAAAAGACGAGGGGAAGAAGGGAGGGAAACCGGTAAAGCCGGTGGCACTAGATACATGCGGGTGTGAAGGTGTGAGAGAACGGGAGAGAGTGAGTGAGTGGGCCAGCAAGCAAGTGAGTGAGGGAGTGATTGAGGGAGCGAGTGAATCAGCAAGTGAGTGAGTGAGTGAGTGAGTGAGTGAGGGAGAGAAGCACACCTGCTTTGAGTGGTAGGCCATGTGACTTCTTAACCTTGACAGTGTAGCAAACGCCTTTCCACACTCCCCACACGTGTAGAACTTATCATGTCCCCACTTCCCCTTCTCCTCCTCCTTGTCCTCCTCTTCCTCCTCCTCCTCCTCCTCCTCCTCCTCCTCCTCCTCCTCCTCCTCCTCCTCCTCCTCATCCTCTCCCACCAAATCCACATAGTCCCTACCTCCCCCCCACACCCCTCCCCCCTCCCGAGCCTCTTCCCCCCCTGCATGTGACCCTCTAGCCCATCCCCTTCCGCCCTCTAACCCGTGTTCCCGGGAACATTGTGTTCCTGTGTTCCTCTCCTCCTCCTTTCTTTTCTCCTCATCCCTCGCCTCCCCCTTCCTCTCTCCTTCCCTCGCCTCCCCCTTCCTCTCTTCTTCCCTCTCCTCCCCCGTCTTTCCTTCTTCTTCCCTCTCCTCCCCCCTCTTTCCCTCTTCGTCCCGCTCCTCCCTCCTCTTTCCCTCGTCCCCGCTGACAAAATCGGCCTTCTTCTCGCCTCCATGCCTCCCCACCACTCCTTCATGCACCCTCATCCCCTTCTCCCCCCCATGCGCCCTCTTTACCTTGCCCCCACCCCGCCCCTCCCCGCCAAACACACCAATTACCCTGCCCCTACTCCCCCATTCCTCCCCATGCTGCTTCTTTGCATGCTGTACCATGTCGCGTTGACGCTTAAAAAGTCGAGCGCAGTGGGGATGAGGGCATGGGTGCTGGGAATTGCGGGGGTTGGGGGTGAGGAGGGAAACAGAGAGAGGAGAAAAAAGTTGCACCTATTGGTATTAGACCGCAATGGTGCTTATTAACTTGTCTGTACTGTAAGGGAGACATGTGATGCAAGACAGAGGAAGAGGGGGAGGATTGGGATGGGAGGTTGCAATACGGACAGGAAGGGGCGAGGGAAGGAGAGGACGAGGAGGGAGTGAGAGGATAGAAAGAGGAAGAAGGAAAAAAGGGAAAGGCTAAAAGCAAGGGGGAATAAGGAAAAAGGGGGAAGGGGGAGAGGGAGAGGGCGAGGGTAGCTTACTCGGGGAGTATTGGGGTTGTGAGTGAGAATGTGCTCCTTTAACCGGTGGTTGAATGAAAATGCCTTTTGGCAATTTGCATGTGGACACACAAACTGCAGTGAGAGGCAGTAAGGGAGAGACGGGACGAAGGGAGAAAAAAAAAAAAAAAAACAGGTACACTTTTAGGTCGACTAAAAAACGACGAGGGGATGAAGGGAAAAGGGTAGGTGTGAAGTGTGAGAGAAAGGGAGAGGCGTGTGAGTGAGGGAGCGAGGCCGTGAGGCCGTGAGGAGTGAGTGAGTGAGTGAGGGAAGCACACCTGCTTTGAGTGGGTGGCCACGTGATAAATAAACTTCGACCGTGTAGCAAACGCCTTTCCACACTCCCCACACGTGTAGAACTTATCATGTCCCCACTTCCCCCTCTCCTCCTCCTCATCCTCCTCATCCTCTCCCACCAGATCCACATACTCCCTACGTTCTCCCCTCACCCCTCCCCCCTCCCACGCCTCTTCCCCCCCTGCATGTGACCCTCTAGCCCATCCCCTTCCGCCCTCTGACCCGCAAAGCCCCACCCCGCCATTTCCCATGCGACTATCCCCCATCCCGCCACCACCACCCCCCAGCTCTCGTCCCTCTGCCCCACCCGCACCTCCCACCAGCGCGCCTCCCTCCCTCCCACCACCCCATAACTCTCTCCTGCCGCCGCCCCCGTGGCATCCCCCTGTTTCCGCTGCATCCCTCCCCGTCCCCACTTCCCCCTCCCCAGGTTCACCCGGTGCTGCCTCGCCCCGCAGAACCCCTTCCGCCTCGGGGCCTTCACGCGCAGCCTCCGCGCCTTTCCCCCGCGTGAGAACAGACGGAACGGGCGGACCGAGCGGGACGGGCGGAACCAGCGCAACACGCTCGGCATTTCGCCCCTGCATGCGAACAGGCGGAAGCTCCGCGCCATCCCGCTGCGCCAGACGAGGCGGAAGCTGCCACGCGTAGCACCGCAGAGGCGGCGGGCCATCCGGCGGATTCGCACGCCCGAAAATCACGCCGATGCCCGTTGCCAGGGATTCGCGCGGGATGATGGTCGCGCCGATGCCCGTTGGGAGGCCCGTTACATTTCGCGATTCCATGCCGTAGCGGGCAGGACTCAAAATAAACCTCGCAGGACTAACTCGAATGATAAGTGGCGACTCGAAGAACGCGCCGCTGCCGTTGCAATGCGAATCGCATCCCGCAATTCCAGCCCGTCATGCGGATGAATGTATGTAACTTTTCGGCGTGTCTCAGTAAATCCGCGAGTAAAATGTGCCGCGATTAGAAATCCCAGCGCGTAATAAAACCCGCGAGTCCGGAATCATAACCCGGAACGACTGCGACCTCTCTCTAACACCCCACTAGCGGTCGCCAATCTTCTGAGCCGATTCTGAAGCCACCTCCTACCACCCTACGACATATTGAGATTACTCCCCCCGCCAAGGACGTGTTACCGAGGGTGCATTGCGCGACGAAGCCCCGTTAATGTCACACCCGCGCAGTCGTTAATGTCACACCCGCGCAGTCTACTCGCCTCTTAGCCGTGTCCCGGATGTTCGCCCGCGCAGTCTACCCGGCCTTGCGTGGCGAATGCTCTACTGTGCTGAATCCACTTGCACAGTGGGGGGGCGAAATTGGGACGGCGACAGAAAGGAGCACGGCAAATGCGTATGCAGCGAAATTCGCGCCCCGCTGTGGAAGGGAGTTCCACGTTGGGTGCGGGCAGGGCTGAACCTTGAAACATGCTTCAGCTTTGGGGGAGTTTAGGGTGTGTTAAATCGCGAACTCCAAAAGTTCGGCCACAATCCGTCGGGCCGTTTTTGCGAAGGTAGTTTGCGACCATCGTAAGTCAAGTGGCGACCGTCGCGAATTTCGTTAAAAAATAACGAATCTTCTGGCCGTTTAAAAAGTCGACACGAAAACGACGCGGAGTCGACTCCGAAACGGCCAAGTAGTCGACACATTGTGCGACAAACGCATGCGACGTCGCACGGTTTCGTCCAACGACAGAATTTATGATCGCATCAAATGAGAAATATCGCCGTCAAAAGTGTGACCCCGTCGCACATACTAAACTACTGTAGTAACTGCAAATTTAACAACTTTTCTGAACCAGCCTGCAATTCGGCCACCAAAGTTGTTAAATTGCCAAAACTGTAAAATATGGCTGTTAAAGAGTCGACCACCTCGTCGTTGTTGTTCGCGACCATTTGGTCGTCGAAAATTCGGCCAGACCCCATTTTCGGAATTGTGTGGCGATTTAACACGCCCTTATTTCTAGCTGTGGAAGCGCCACAGTCGTTGTATGTTGTTCCTGAAAGGTGTTACGAGTGCAATTGAGTGATCGAGCGAGAATTGCACTATCGAAGCAAGAGTACAATGAGCAAAGGCATGAGCGAAGAATATAGGGAAAATATGTCAATGGTAGCTTATGTTATGAATGAACTTGCAGAGTGCGCAGAGTATCGAATAACGAGAATGAGAATTACAGAATGAAGAAACAATGAAGTAGCGAGGCCTAAATAGGGGAAAGCCTAGCTAGGCGGGGGGGTCGGGATGGGATGGTTCGGTGATGGTTGCGATTGGAGCGGAGGCCGACTCGGGAGTGGTTCGGTGCGACGAAATAGGAAGGACAGGTTCGTCGCGTGACCCTCGGGATGGCCTCGCTAACGAGTGCCTCAGTAAGGATTTGTAAATCCTTACAACTTATATGGGGAACTATAACGCGAACGGTAACGATTTCAGCACGTTTGGTAACTCGCTTAACACGTTTGATAACTCGCTTAACGCGTATGGTAACTATACACTAGCAGCCCATCACGCGAATGGTAACTACATGAAACTCCCGCCAAAATGATCCTGAAATTGAGGAATTTATCGAGTTTGAAAGCTTTTACGCACAATTTTATCTTTCTTGAACAAGTCCCGCCGCGACTTTGAAGGATCCTGTTTAGTCTAATACCACGGACCAAGAAGTTTCAAAGTTTATATATATATATATGGCTCGTACAAAAACGGTTCAAATCATATTTTTGATAGCATGATTTCGAACTTGCAAAATGATAAAAAAAAAATGATTGCAAACCATAGCTGCTCTCCATTTCTCTTTGTCGGAACCGGACAGAGCTTGGCAGACAGTAGTTGGTTCCTTAAGAGAAGTATGGCGAACAGCAACGGCGAGGCCGAGGACCCAAAGACCGGTTTCGTCAGTCTTTTCGTAGTGAAGACGATCGTAGTCGTGGAAGCTGGTAACTTCGACCATGTCGTCGTCACTTTCGTTGCCGAGGCGGAGGGTGTCTTGCGACGAGTTGGGCTGTGGTAACTCGGCATCCGGGGATCGGCGCGCCTCACTGTTGTAGTTGTGAGCTTCGCGTGTTGTATCGTCGGGATCGGGTTGGTGTAGAGGGACAAATGTTGGAGTCCCGAGTGGGCTGGTAAGGGGGATGCTCGAGGCAGAGTCCATTTGGGTGACATCAGCGACGTCTGCATCTTCCGCCAGGTCAGCTTCGTCGTGTGACGTGGCGAAGCTGCGGTGGCCTTCAAAGAGCCTCTCTAGTAGTTTGTCGGCCTCCTGGTGCTCCTTGAAAAGGGGCAGAGTCAGCTTCTCATAGAAGATGCAGTCACGTGATTTCGTCACCTCGTGTGTCGCGTAGTCCAGCACAATCCACGCCTTGAATTCTTTTTCGATCCCGAGGTGGATGCCCCATCATGCTCGGTCAGCAAATTTTCCGGTCCTTGCAGTATGGGGTCTGTACTGTACCATGCAGCCGAACACCCGAAGCAGACGTGTATCCGCTTTCCTGCCCGTCCATGCACGGTAGGGGGGGTTGTTGTTCTCGAGGCTTCGCGAGGACAGCAAGTTGTGCAGCCGAACAGCGTGGTTCATCGCAAACGGCCAATATTTGATTGGGAGGGCCGACTGCTTCATCAGGGCCCTCACCCGCGTGGCGAGGCTTCTGTTTGTCCGTTCTGCTACACCTTGCTGTTCGTGAGCGTAGGGCAGGGACACCAGGTGCTCAATCCCCTTTCGTTTGAAGAGTTCCTTGAACTCGTCTGAGAAGAACTCTAGGGCTCCGTCTGTCTGCCAGGCTTTGAGTTTTAGTCCAGACTGACGCTCAGCCCGCTTCATCCACGCGACGAAGCACTCGAAGGCCAGTGACCTGTAGTCGGTGTTGACGGCCCAAACGTAGCGATTAGATGCGTCGATGAAGGTGAGTGTGTATTGTTCGTCGTCGAGACCGCTCTGACTGAGAACCATAAAGTCGCTGTAGACTTTATCCAGCGGCTTGTAGCGTTCGTATCCCGAGTCGGGAAACGGCTTGTGGTTGAGTGAAGCCGTGGGGCAGACGGTGCAAGGAGGGTCAGTTGAGTCCGCGGTGAGAGAACCGTTTCGAGGCAGAAGTAGTGCGTTGTCGTCGAAGACTCCAGCCTTGAGCGAATTTTTGAGTGTGGCGTGAGAGGGATGTCCGAGCCGTTGATGCCATGTTTCTGGTTCGGCACGGTAGCCGACTGTTTTCTGATAATACTTGTGTCATGCTGCTTCGTCGTGTGCCTCCCCTTCAGGTCCTGCATCGGCGACGTCGTCGGTGTCGGTGGCGAGCGCACGAATTGACTTCCGTTCCAGGAGCGCGTGAGGTATACCGATGATGTCGTCGGTGTCGCCGGCTTCGACCTGGTTTCCGGTGACAAGCAGGCACCGATTGGGCCAGTCGCGGACCGGGAGTCCCTTCATGGGAATTCGGAAGTAGCTGTACTCGGCGCCGATGAATTCAATTTCCTGTGGCCCTTGTTCTGGGGGCAGCGGCTCTTCGTTAGGTGCTGGTAATTCTGCTGCTTCTCCGAAGAGTTCGTAAGTTACTTCTTCTTCTGACCCCCCTTCCATTGGTTCTGGTGTATCAGGAACATATTGATCGGGGAGAGGAGGGCCGCCCCAGCTGGTACCGCGAGTAGCCCAGTATGGGTCGATAGCGACGACATTTGCAGGAGGGAGCCCGGCTGCTTCGTCACGAACTCGTTCCGCTTCGGCTGGGGTTTCCCATCTCGCGCCAGTGGTCTCTCCTGCCGCCGTGGTGGTGCCCCATACGTCCCCAGTTGTCTCTACTTCTCATGAGGGAGGAGGAGTTCCCCATCCGGTCGCGCCGACTTCTCCCGTGGAAACGGCGCCCCATCCGCTTGCGCCTGCCTCTTCTGGAGTTAGGATTTCTCCCCAGGGCCCGAGCGTGAGCTCGGGATTGCTCCAACCTGTCCAGCCCACTTCGGCTGTTTTGTTCACCTCGATGGTTTGCGCTGCAGGTTTTGACGTGCCGCTGTCTTCTTCCATTGTGGCAGGTCCGGTGTGAGAGTACGACGGCTTATGCCAGCTATGCTTGCTTGCCTTTACTTTATCATGCCATTTCTAGTATAGGATAATTATATGCATGCATGAATTGCTTGATTTCCTAGGCTAGGTGCTTTCCTATACTTTATTATAGTTATAGCACCGAGCTAGGTTGCGTGCACCGAATTCTGGCTTTTCGGTAGCCACCGAATTGCCTTCTACCGAATTCGGGAAGGATCTGTTCGGGACACTTCGCGACCCGCGGAAACTTTGCGTAACACCTGGTTACTAGGCCTTGAGTCGAGCCCATATATAGCCTCGTGTTGTACCCAGGTTAATCATTCAATTACAATTCTCTTTTCTGAGCTCGATCCTAGATCCTCACACTTGGTAATCAGAGTCTGTTTACAAACGAAGTTTTCGACCACTAAGAACTAGCTTTTAAAACCGCGGGGGCGACGACGGAAAGCGCCGATTTCGGGTACGTAAACCAATTCCGCACTATTTTTAAACGTCCCCCTCGACTGGTTTTCGAACACCCCTCAGGTCCAGTGGCGAAAAAGTTGGAATTTCGACCTTCGGATCGATTTGAATCTCAACGGCCTCGAGAGTTTCGCCCAAAAAAGTTGGAATTTGGAGCGTCGGATCAAATTTCTTCTCGACGGCCGAGATCAGACGCGAATTTCGACTAAGGGAGAACTACGCGACCTACAGAATCAGCCCTCGTCATTTCTGCAGTCAACTCGACTCACAGTAAGATGACCAGCGCCTAAAATTGAT